ACTCACTCACTCACTCACTCACTCACTCACTCACTCACTCATACTCACTCACTCACTCACTCACTCACTCACTCACTCACTACTCACTCCACTCACTCACTCACTCACGATCAATCACTCGCTAATCACTCACACTTCACTCAGCTCCACTCACTACTTCACCTCTTCTCCACTCACTCACTCACTCATCATCAACTCACTCACTCCTCTCACTCACTCACTCACTCACTCCTCACTCAGCTCATCATCAACTGCACTCACTCACCTCACTCACTCAGCCACCACTCACTCACTCACACACTTCACTCACTCATCACCACCACTCACTCAGCGTCAACACACTCAGTGCAACTCCACACTCACTCCACACACCTCACTCACAACTCACTCACACACTCACTCATCACACTCACTCACACACTCACTCACACACTCACTCACACACTCACTCAACACGACTCACTCCACAGCATCCTCACACCTAAACACTCACTCACACACTCACTCCACACACTCACTCACACACTCATCACACACTGCACGTCACACATCACATCACCACTCACACTCACCTCACTCACACACTCACACACCTCACTCACTATCACTCACACACTCACACACTCACTCACTCCTACCCTCCACTCACACACTCACACACTCACACTCCACACACTCACAACACTACACCACACCTCCCACACTCACACACTCACACACTCACACACTCAACACACTCACATACACTCACACACTCACAGCACTCACACACTTCACCACTCTCACACCACTCACACACTCACACACCACACACACACACACACACACACACACACAAAGGCGATGCGTTACAACGCGATAATCTGTGAGTGTACTTGACCAATATCAATGAAACTTGTATGCTAGTTTTCTTTGGAGGTCAGAAGTACTTTAGGCAATGATTTACAACCACAAACCTTAATCTATTTACAAAATATTTACTTTTCTGGACGTTTTCCGCCTAGCATTGAATCACAGATTGAAGAGTGTATCTACGTGCAACTGTTTAGCCGCGTGACACCAGAGAATAACGACTGAGATCTACGCATGAGTTCATCAATGCACAGAATTGCGTATAGGAGAATACTGTTTGTTCATTTTCACTGACAATTGTCTTATATGAAATTCTTCTATTTTCTCCGCTTTATAATAGTAACTTGGATATTGATTTTAATTGCATCTAGGTGTGAATATGTTAAGTGCACCAGGGAACCGCAATGATTGGAAGAAATCATTTTCTGATGAATGTGCTTAACATTGTCATAAAAAGGTGTGAATATACACATTTTAGTTTTAGTAAATTAAACCTGATTATTATGTATTTGAGTTTCGCGAGCTACAGTGCGTGCAAAAACATATTATGAATGATTTACATGTTATGCTGAAACTGACAGATGGATGCATTTTTGTAGGAAAGTGTTTTATTATTGTGGAGAGTGAAAGCATATCTTTGGGTGGTGAAGGAATGATGAAAGTTTGGCAAGAAGTATAATTGAAGTAAAATAGTAATGGTAAATGATTGCCAAAAGCTAACGTGGAAATCTTGCTTCAATGAGTTATGACTTCATTTCAAACAAACTTTTACTTGTATTCAGTTCTCTAGGAAGTCAACTTCGCTATCCTCGTTCCTCACACATCGAGGAATGAAAATATCTTCACTTTCAAACACATTTTGTTCGAAATTAAAAGATTCTGAAGTTATTTGACAATAATTTCACCAGCACTGTACGTGGGTCAAATTTCATAACTTGTATGTAAACAATGCCTACATAAACTAGACTACATAAACAACTATTAATATTTGACAGATCGCGTAAAAAGATATTTATGGGCTGCATATGCACTTGTGTGTGGAATTTTGACCTCCAGCTTTCATTGATTGGCCTCAATTGAATTTGATTCGATGTAGTCAAAGAACAGTGAAATTTGTATGTGGGTATGGGGAAGGTCTGCTCTCATATTCTTCTTGAGCCCCTGAAATTCTTTCCGACACTGAAACTGTAAGTAGTTGAATGACGAAAAAAGTTCCAAAAAGTATCGAAGTTAGCAACCTTTTGAAAACATGGCCTTTTCGCTCCCGAGTTATAGAAAACTTATTTGCGTAGTTAAATGAACTACGGTTTTTGCTTTCCTTTTTTCTAGCAAAATTCTAACACATCTTCGGTTCTACTCCTACCACAACTAGCAAAATATAAGTTTAAAAAACGTGCGCGTAGTGAAGCTTTATTGAATATGATGAACATTGAATATGAGTGAGCTGGGACCCAGGTTACAAAATTCCAGAATTTTCCTACAAGGCAGAAAATACTCTGGTTCAAATTATCTTGACGCACAGTTCAGTAAAATGGTCTTGCGCATGACCGTTAATTAATAATACAATAGCAGTATCTTCTTCATTCATTTTTAAAGTGATGGAAATATTTCAGCCCAACCTTCTGAACCGTGAAATAATCTTATAAAAGTGTTTCATAAGCGTGTCAACTAATCTGTTCGTCACATCATTATACACACAAGATTGTGCGAGTCATAACACGAATGGTGGGGAGGTGAGGAATTTTGATCCCCGGGTCACGCTGTGTTGCTTACAGCTGACACTGCTATAGAAAGAGGTGTAAAGTTCACTGGGTCTAGACTAACATTTTTGGCTTTATTTCCAACGTCTGTGGTCTAAGCACCTTGATCTCAAAATCCCGGCTAAGAATACGCGTCGATGCAACGACGGCTTACGGCTAAACTAGTCATCTGAACCCGCCCTTTCGGTCCCTCTGGCTGTAAGATGGAAGAGCAGCCTATCAGACCTTTCAGTTTTGTTCAAAATAACACGGAGTACTCAGTTCGTACATAATTCAGGAAAATAACTCGTACAAAATTCGCGCCCGTGTATTGGAATTACTTTAATTTTTTTTAATACCAGAGCAAACAGAGATGCAGGTGTATTAATCCCGTTTGGTTCTAAACTAAAAGAAAAACTAATTAGCGTGCATTTGTGATAAATGCTAGAAATATGGAATTATTAACTTCCGTAGTACAAGATCAACAGTAAAAATATCTTAAATTCTTTTTTAGTTTAGTTCACAAAATATCTCATTAATTCCATGATAATTCGTTGATTATCACTATGTGCATTGTGTATGGCATGCGTACAGTTAACTCCATTCAGAACTCAGAGAACTGATCGAAATCGTTTAATAATGCATCTATAATACAGACGTTTCCAGACGGCTATGAAACATGGACAAAAATGTACATCATATTTCACGTACATCAAAAACATATAATCAGTGAACGAATTAAACAAAAATATAAAAAAGTCTTTATTACTTCTTCTTAGGCAACTATGTTAATATTTGTTACAATAAGTTAAATTAGAAATTATTACCCTACTTGGCATCAATTATCTAACCCGGTCTAGTCACTTTATATTGCACAGATATGTTAATTAATCTACTTAAACCTGACTGCCTCGAGAAGGCAGTTGTTTTGACAAAACTTATTTGTTTTGGAAAATCATGTAAACTGTTTATAGTGGTAAATATTGATATTCTCCTTTAGACTCCACTTCTTCAACATAAACAAGAATGGCCAGAAGCATTTTTGACACTATAGCTGACTAATGGAATAACATAAAATAATTAACATGAATAAATGTTTTAACGTGTAAAACATTTGGTCTTAGAGCATTACAAATATTTTTAAAAAATGCAATGGTCAGTTGTTCCCTCGCCTGGATAGTACGCCAGCAGAACGTCAGTCAGAGCTCAATCGTCTTTCTCTTTTCCAACATTAACCCACGTTGTTCTCTCCTATATGCTCTTAATTTTCGTACGAAATAATGTTTTCTTGTATTCGTCAGCTTCTTCTAATATTTCAACCGGAATACTTAAATATTTTCCATTTTCAAACGTAATTATCAATTACAAGTATTATCTAAGACATTAAGGTGATCGTAAATATACTCGTACACCTCCCGAATCTCTCACCAGCGGGGGCTCCACCCCAGCTAGGACAAGCTCTAAGCAGGGGCGGATCCAGCTGATGGGTTTGGGAAGAGGGGATCACAGGTTTTGCTAATAAATATATTTCTTATTATATTGTATACTTTTGTAGTGTATATACTATACAATTTTATTTTAAGTAATTACGTAATTATAACAAATATATATTTAAATCCACTTTGCCAAATAAAATATGGTAACAAACGAAAATTTAAGAGCTTTAGAGGCGGCATGGCTCCCCATTCCCTCCCCCTTCCCCGGGTCAACTACTGCATGAAAGTGTAGTAGGGGTGAGAGTGAAAGGGTGAGAATAGGACAAGGAAAAGGAAAGAGAGATCGCACGCGGTCTGTGGCCCGTTTGTCAGGGTACTGCTCGGCTTCCTCCTGGTGTTGATTGGAGAAACCACGGAAAACTACCGATGAGAGCAGCCGGCCACTAGAATTCTCCTTCTCCACACAGTTACTGAATTCGACCTAGCTATGTAGCTAGGGCCGAAAATCCTGCCACCGTTCGGACTCGAACCTAGGACCTCCCCGTCAGACGAGCTGCAGTGACATCAGTTGATACCCTGAGCCACCTCTCCCAATGGAAATTGAATGGCTTTAATGACTAATTATATAAAATTAGTAAAAACCGCGATTGTAAATGTGTCCTGGCTTCTAAGGGTGGGGTGCTGATGGTCTCTCCCTTCGGTGTGCCACTTTTGGATATTAAAGAACTTGTTACCCTCTAACACTTGGTTCCAGTTATTGATTTCAGAAAATCTCAGCCCTGCTTTTGTTAAGTGTATTAAATATGTACAGTAATGTTATCATAAGGAAATTGAAGTTTTGTTGTGATAACATTTTAAAGTATCTTCTCTCTAATTTAAATTGATATATTATTAAATAATTGCTTCATTTTTTACACAAAAAGTCTAATGTTAATGCTTTTTGTCAATGATTAATATTTTTCTTTGTTTTCAGCAATCATAGTCCTGTATGCTTCGGGGTTTGGTATAACAGCAGGAGCCCACAGACTGTGGTCACATCGTGCCTATAAAGCCAAATGGCCACTAAAATTGCTATTGGTCTTTCTTTTTACCATTGCAGGCCAGGTATGTTGACTAACATTCAAATTTTTACTTTGACACCCGTTTTACTTGTCCAGCTAACAAAGATTTATTGACACTTGTCTTATTCTCATATTCAGTGATGTAGCAAAATATTAAATCTTCCTTTTTTTATTACATTGCAGAAGACAAATAATTCAACAATAAGGGTATTTTTGCTTGTTTAACCCATTAATGCTTAAATTAAATTTGTGCACATAGCACTTGCCCATTGTTGTTGAACCAACAGAAGTCATGAATGTGCCCTGACTGGGAATGTACCATGCTCTAGCGATCACAATTAAATCAACATTTGTCATTCAAAAATGAAAAAAAACTTGCTTATATGTTGCATTTTGAATGTCTACATTTATTGAGGAAATAAAATTCAAAATCAATGAAATGAAAAGAAGCAAATTTGAGATTACAACAAAGAATGCTGTGCATTAATGGGTTGAAATATCTATATACAGGAATTTTGCATTTCATTCTCTTTATGGTGTGATCCCTCACCCTCAACATTTTTTTTAATCAGTCTCCCAGAAAAGTTTAAGAAACCCCATTACATGGGGTGCAATAAATCGCTCACAAACCTTGGGACTGGAAAGTAGTAATGAATTGATAGAAATGTAATAGTCCTTTTATAAGTATACTCATACCTCTCTCTTCTTTTTTTTCTGTTGTATGATATGAAGTATGATGTTGATTTCTTTAGATTTGAAATTTTCATATAAGGCTTTTCCATTATTTTTAAATGTGAAACATTGACGAGACTTCAACTTCTGACTGGCATAATTTCTCTTCTCTGATAGAATGGTATGTAATGGAATGGAATGTTGACAGGGAGTGGGGGTATTGAAAGTATTAAGAGTTGCAGGCAAGAAAGGGGAAAAGAAAAGCAACATTTTGCAGAAGACATGCTTGTTTAATGCACCTGTTCAAAGAATGAAATTCTATTTGCTGTAGGTTTAAGATGTTTTTTTTTTTTTTATTGAATGTATATGGTTTTTGAGGGATAATATAATCATATTCATTGCACAAAATTTTTTAACACGTAAATTAAAATAAAATGGATATATACTCAGGTTCTATGCCTTACATTAAGGAAATAGATGCAAGCAGATTAATGTAATACACTATTAGAAAACAGTTTAACTTTTCATAAATCCATAGCTTATGTGTTTTGTTAAAATACTTTAATACTTAAATTACCAAAGCCCCTTTGGTGATCACCTCCAGTTGAAAATTCATACATAAAAGGTTTACATTACTGAGTTTTCAGTACTAATGCAATAAAGCATTCTCTCTATTTAGCCTATATAATACACTAAAAAGTCAGTTACGTAATATTTTGGACACCCATCATCACAAAATCAGGAATGTGTGCTACTGCTGGATAGGGAATTATCCCTGGAGTGAGGAAATTACCAGTCACACATGCAACCCCCTTGAGGGGATCAATTTACATTTCTGATGCCTTAATCGACAAAACAAGACTGTTTTTTTAATATTTGAATACATAGTTGTTGAGTACCTCCATTCCTATCATGGGTTGCCAGGAACGTTCAAAATTTGGACACCAGTACGAAGTTACTTTTGCTTAATTAAAAGTCGACTGCTTTCATAGATTTATCTAGTGTGTAATATAATTTTAAAGAAATAGTTATATTCATCAGAGAAAATTATTATAGATATGTTGTTATAAAAATGCACTAAAAGTTTGTTTGTTTTTTTTCTTTCTTTTAGCGGCATGTTTATCAATGGGCATTGGATCATCGTATACACCACAAATTCAGTGAAACTGACGCAGATCCTCACAATGCAAAGAGAGGGTTCTTCTTTAGTCATGTAGGCTGGCTTGTGTTAGAACCCCATCCTGATGTGGTTGCCAAACGTTCCCAGGTTGATATGAGTGATTTGGAGTCTGATCCAATAATCATGTGGCATAAGAAGTAAGTTTGCCATTTTATAAATAAGGTTAATGAATACTTCAATAATAATCTTGATATGTTTGGTTATTACAATTTATGATTAATTAAATATTTATTTTTAATATCAAAAACTGATAACAAATGTTTACTACCAACAGAATACTTTTTAAAATTATTCAACTGTGATGATCTTTTTACTGATACATTTTTGCATGAGATTTCACCTGAACAAATATTTTTTAGAAAAAATGCTTCACAACTTTTCCAAGTAGATTCAATGGTGCTTACCATTTGTTCTCGGATTTTTGTTTTTTTATTTATTAGATTTAAATCAATTTTCACTCAACAAACTTTGAAAGGAAATTAATTATGCATAAATATTAGGAAAATATTTGAATGAAATTTGGGTAGTGATATTTTTATTTTTGTGAAGAATCAAGATATTGACAAATGTATTAGTACCAAAGGGTTTTTTTTATGCTTCAGAAATTCTTTTGAGTAAATATTTTAAAAGATTTAAAATGTGGTCCAAAAACAAATGACATGAAAAGTGTAACTTCATGTGACTTTTTAAATCGGGAAGTCCAGATCCAGAGGTATTCTTTCCTTTCCTGGTGGTCCTGGAGGTTACCTTTGTAGAATTAGCTCTGGAATGAAGGTGACTTAGTGTGTTGGTTTGTAAAAATGTGAAGGAGTCATCAAAGGTCCCCAAAATTGAGAATTTTAGTTCAAAGGTGCCAGTGAAAAGTAGCATAAATGTCACATATGATTACACAACTTGCTTTACTGAGCTAGAGTAGTAAATTGGGAAAACATTTATTTTCAAATTGTGTTGTAACCAGTCCTACTTCACGGCTAGAGCACTATTGGTTGTCATGTTTTATATTTAAAACCTTGGTTCAGTTCAATTGTTAACTTCAAATACGTTACCTTTGATTATATTCTTATTCAAATTTTGTTGCATTTTTGATCATATGATAATAGGCAATTTTTACTCCGCTATATTTTAATCTAATTAGAATATATTTTTCTCAGAATATGTTTTTAATGCCAAGAGTGTTAATTTGCATGAGAAGGTTCAATGAGTCAGCAACACACAAACAATTTACAAACACATTAGTTTTATGCCCGACACACAGTACCACCAAACATCCAAAACTGTGCAATGGCTAGTAATAAACTGTAACCAGCTACCAACCTCCAGAATGTTCCACAACACAAGAAGACACTGCTGGTGATGCCAGACCTGCAGAGTCAAGCCAGTCTCTCAAAAATTTGCTTCCTTATTGGGCTAATTTCATTCTTATAAACATAAATTTCTCATTTGAACACATTACCTAATTTGGATTTTTAGAATAGTGTACAATAAATATTTTACAAATTGTGTATTTCCAGTGAAAATTTCACTTCCGACAAAGTTTTGTTAAATTTTTAACATATTTTACCATTCAGTTTTTCCTCACCCTGCAGTCAAGATTGTAATAAAAATAAATTGAGAAAATGGTTTGTTGGGTCATATTTTTTATACTCCTTGATTTTTGTTATACATTTGTTATTACAGAAAAGCATTTTGTATGCTTGCTTTGTTTAAAATTTTTAACTTGAAATTCAGTGGAAACCTTGTGGCTAAATTCTTCTTTTTGTGGTTCTTATTGCTATATTTAAAGTATTTACCAATAAGTAGTTCAAATTGAATAGATTTTCTACTTCCCCTCAATTTTTTATTGTCAATATGTAGTGATAAAATTAAATTAACTTAAAAAGTAAACTCTAAAATAAATTAAACTTTTAATTAAACATTTTCTTATGATTCTCATTTAAGGATTACATTATTTTACTTTACAGCAAAATGCATTAACATGCTCCGTGATCTTCTTAAAAGGGAATGTGGTTTTCAATTTACATCACCTCTAGAATAAGCTAGGGTTTTCTGGTGGGGTCTCTTTCTTCAATTTTGCCTCTACATTGAATAATTACTATGAAAACTCACAAATTTGAATCGTAAAAATATTTCGTATAAAAAAATAGATATTAATTTTAAAAAAAAGTTACCTTATACACTGTTTGCACAAGCAAAATAAATTGTGAAGGTACTAACATTGATTTAATGTGTTGAAAACTATGCAGTTCTTATGAGTGAACAAAAGTTAATACAAAGTCCATTAATGTCTGTTCCAGATTGTATGTTCCCCTATTTGCTCTGCTGGTGATTATTCTTCCTGTGTGGGTGCCATGCCATTTCTGGGATGAATCTCTTTGGACCTCCTTTTTTGTGGCATTCAGCTGTCGTTTCTGCATAACCCTACATATTGCCTTTTTTGTCAATAGTGTTGCACATATGTGGGGAAACAGGCCATATGATAAGTAAGTGTTTGCTATTCTTCTGCCATTTGTAAATGTTAAAAATTGATGTTCCATCAGGAAAATGACATGTATGTTAAATTTAGTCACTTCGATTTGCTTTGTGCTTGTGGTATTTATTTGTACTTGTTGGAACTTGTCTTTCAAAAAGTTCCATATTATATAGTAATTTCATTGAAATGCTTTATTTTTTAACTCTTTCAGAAACATTAGCCCAGTTGAAAACTTTGCTGTATCCATGGCTGCCCTAGGAGAAGGCTGGCATAATTACCATCACGTATTTCCATATGACTACAAAACGGCTGAACTGGGAAACTACACATTAAATTTAACCACAGCTTTCATCGACTTTTTTTGTTGGCTCGGCTGGGCTTATGATGCAAAGTCTGTTTCAGAAAATATGGTCAAACGACGTGTTTTGCGATCAGGTGATGGCAGCCACAACTTATGGGGATGGGGAGATAAGGATATTTCTGAAGATGATAGGCTAGAATTACAAAGCTTAGAAAGAAAGGAAAAATCCCAATAGATTTTGTATTGTTTATAAATGTAATCACTGTTGTAATAGATTGTATACAATAGTTGTATATTAATTGTTGGAATGAAAAATGTTGTATTCTTGTATACTAAATGAATAGAATATCTCGATATAAAAGAACTACTACCTTTATTTATATTATAATATTGTTTATTGTCAGGAAAATGGATTGCCCAATTCTGAATTGTTTGTTAAATCTAAATATTGAATCCAAAGAAAAATGTTTAATTATTCATGTAAAGCTTAAAAATACAATGCAAAATAATGTTAATTATTCCTTTCTGTGTTCAATGTGTTCATCTCATCATCTATTTAGCTGTATCACACACTGGCAAGCTTTCTTTCAAAATGATAGATGTACAGATATTTTGAGTTTTGCTATTAGTATGCCAATGTATTGAATTGCAATGCAATTATTTGTGTAATGATAGTAATATTGTATACCAGTATTCTTAACAAAATGTAATATTGCTTTTGAAGTATGATGTACAAGTGCCTCCTAAAAGAAGTTATGTATTTAGAAGTTCGTATTGATAACTTATTTTTACATGTCAAATCTATTTTTCCCTTCCATTCAATCATTTATATACTATGTTAAGTATTTCCTACTTTGTGTGTGTGTGTGAGTGTGTATATTTTGTAGGAAATCACTATCACAATTGCATTAACACTTTGCAAACTATTTATGAATATAAATTATTTGCACTCTGCTATAATATAATTATTTTGTAATTGTTATTAAATATCTAAGTATCGTCACAATGACTAAACTCAATTTATTGTTCATAATAATTTTATTTTTAAATTTGATTCTAAATCAGAATAGATTTTGTTAGCATATTTCATATTAAAAATTTAAATATGAAGTGACAAGGTACATCCATTCTTTGGTTTTTAAATTATTTCCTTAAGAATTTACAATTTGCCCTGAAAGATAGTAAATCTGTCCATTCCCAATGTCTCCCTCATAAGTAAAACAATATTTCTTTAAAAGAATGTTTGATCACATGAAATGTTTGCATTCTTAAAAACCTGAATTTCTGAACTGCCCTGTTTAATGGCATGCCTTAACTGGATTTAAAGTTGTATGCATCCTGGAATGCGTAAATTTTTACTTCTTAAGGAGAGAGAGTTATGTAATCGTGGTCTGGAAAAAGCGAATTTCAGGCAGAAAAACTTACTGCCGGGCTCTGATAACAAAAAAAGGCACTTTCTATCTTTTTATTAGAGATTTGTGAAGGATTCCAAGAAAAGTACAAATGGGTGACTTTTCAACAAGACATTATCGATATGGGGTTTCGTAGCCGAAGGCCCACTCGTATACACTTGACTGAGCGTACAAAGCTTCACGCCTCGCCTGGGCCTGTCAACACTGATATTGGTCTTGACTGGAAACACGTTGCCTCGTCTGACAAGCCTCGTTTCACATTGTTTCGAGCGGATGGACGTGTACAAGTATGGCGACAACCTCATGAATACATGGACCTAGAATGTCAACAGGGGACTGTTCAAGCTGGTGGAGGCGCTGTGATGGTATGTGGCGCGTGCAGTTGGAATGATATAGGACCCCTGATACGTCTAGGTACGACTCTGACAGGTGACACGAACTACGTAAGCACCCTGTCTGATCACCTGCACCCATCATGCCCATTGTGCACCCCGACGGACTTGGGCAATTCCAGCAGGACACACGTACAGAACTTGTACAGTACGTTGCTACAGAGTGGCTCCAGGAACACTCTTCTGAATTTACACTACCACTGGTCACCAAAACCCTCAGACATGAGCATTATTGAGTATATCTGGAATTCCTTGCAATGTGCTGTTCAGATGAGATCTCCGACCCTCGTACTCACGAGTTTATGGACAGCCCTGCAGGATTCATGGTGTCAATTACATCCAGCAGTACTTCAGATATTAGTCGAGTCCATGCCACGTTGTGTTGCGGCACTTCTGCGTACTCGCGAGGGCCCTACACAGTATTAGGCAGGTGCACCATTTTGGGGGGGGTTCTTCAGAGTATTTTACCCTTGAAATCGAAGGGTGCGTGCAAGAACCTGATTTTACATTATGTTTTATAAAAAATGAAATTTTGCCATTTAAAAACCTAACATGTGTCCCTCTATTATCAAAGCTCTAAGTAGTTCACGAATCTCTCATTAGATAAAAGTGTAATTGGGCGAGAACAAAGCTTTTGCCTTCGTGCGTGCAAGAACCTGATGTGTGTTTTCCTTCTCGCAGCAAGAAGAGATTTGAATATTCTAGTGGAAATTACTGATAAGTTATGACCTTATTTCTTTTTATTTTCAAATGATCCAATCAGATACATTTTAAACCTTTGGAGAAAGTATTTGTCGTGAAATTTAATCTTCACTTTGGCCATACAAAATTGGAATCGTGCAAAACATGCGACAAGCGTGCTATAGATATCGAGAGAGTGAAGATAATACAAAAACAAAGAAAAAGCAAGAAAAATAACTGCATTTACGAAAGGGCAAAGACGCTCAAACCATGATGGAAATTATTTTCTAGCTGTGCAGAATGACTCAAATATAAGGGCAATAGCGTTTGATATGCAGCAGACACTCTTCATATCCTTACTAATGTGGTTTTCTACTCCAGGCAATTGTGGACTTTCAATCTCTGAGTATATGATGCAAGTGAAGGTCCAATGAACGTCTGGACAGTAGGGGATTGCAAGCTGATAGGGAATCACAATAAATAACATCACGTGTGATCTCTTATTTTTAAAACAACTCTGAAATTCTAACAGGCAAAAAAGGTTAAAGTTTATCACCTGGTCTGATTCTTGTGGCGGCCAGAACAATAACAAGAATATCATTTCCTTGTGGTAGTACACAGTACATGATCTACGTGTCTTTGTTGAAGGGCCGCATAAATTCCCTCTCCCAGGGCTCACCTTTCTTTATTGCGACGAGATTTTAGGGATTATTGAGAAGAAAAAGAAGTCCACGCCAGCAGTTTATTCTTCAGAGCAGTGGGTAAACATTATCAAGGTAGCTAAACGAAAGAAACGTTTTCATTTAACAAAAATGAAAGAGATGTTCTTTTCCCTCACTCCCGTTCTCTCGTCCTTAGTCTTGCGCAGAGCATGTATTAAAGTAAAATATGCACATTCAGAAAGCTTCGAAAATTAAAATAAGAAAAGAAAAATCAGGTTCTGTTTTCTTTGCTTACGCGTACACTGATTCAGCTGAGTGGCAAGAAGTCAGCGTCTCCAAGAGAGGAAAAAGGAAGATTCAAAGTGATCAGCCTCCTCTCTAACACGAAAGATGTTGATACATTCCGTGTGAGTTTCGGAAGTGTTATGAAGGCATCTAAAGTGTTACACCGAAACCTAAAAAGTTGATACCTATTCCAAAAGCATCAGAATTATGGTAAAGATTTAGAAGAAAGTGAGGTAGAGGAACCAGATAATGAAAAAAATCAGGATTAAGCTTAATGACTCGTAACATACCAGGTTCTTGAATTCAACTACTGTATGATGCTAGTATCAGAATTTATAAAAATTGCTGCGTACACCATATTTTTAAAAACCAACTTCTGATGATTTGTAGACATAATTCTGTGACTTTACACAATATAAATTGTAATTCAAATTCTGCAAAACATTAATTTTTAGCCTGAACACTTTACATCTCTGTATTTTAAAACTTTAAATATGTAACATATCAGGTTTTTATATGCACCCATTGAAATATATTGTAAATATTTGTTGAATAAAAAAATCCAAGCATCGAAGGAACGCTGAAAAGAATGGCGTGGGTTCATTGTAGTTGAACTCTAAATTTTCGAAAATTGCAAATTTAGAAACAATGCGAGAAAGTAGCACACAGATGCCATTACCACTTGCGTCCTTTAGTCTACGCTGCGTCAACCCCCCAACCCTGAACCAAGCGTATCCCCCTCTTGCGTCCTTTCCGAGAGTATGTACGTAACTTTCGCAACCCCATAATGGACTCGCATGGATTTGAGCTACCAGCGAACGTTTTTCAGCCGTTGCTGCCCAGATCTCTTGCCTTTTTATATCCGCAAGTCTATCGGAAATCAGCCTTTCTATCTCACGGGTTCCCCTATCTCCCATTTCCGGAGAGACGTCTCCCAACCCTGCGCGGTCACGTAGCCGTTTAATTTTGTACGTCCAGTAGCGATGGTCGCTTCCCTGCCATTGCACACTAAAGCACCTATGTATAAGTGTGTCAGCCTGTTCATCTGCTTATTTAATCCAGAGTTTAATAGGTTTCATTTTAAAATCTCTCCAAATTCCTATACTACCGACCTCTCTTAAGACTCCGGCATTTGCTGCGAACCTAGAAACTCCTAGAATTAATTTGTAATAATCTGTTTCGATGCTTTCTAATCGATCTATCCTATCCACTCCCCAGATTTCTGCTCCATAGTTCATAGCTGGGAGAACTAACGATTTGAACATTGTATCGCATTCCGGAGCCCTGCGCACTGCGCAAACGATTTCTTTGAGCGCAATTCTTCCTTTGCTGTGAGCCGTCAATAGGTGATTATTCCATCCCCCATTCATGGAAAATTTTGCACCAAGATATGTAAATGTTTTGACGCGGTCAATTTATTCCGTAGCGTAGAACCATTTCTCTTTGCTACCCCAGATAAACCCATTCTTGAAGACTCTTACTTTCGTTTTTTGAGTATTCACTTTTAGTCCCCATGCCTCACTACACCGTTCTAGAATATTTAAACTCTTCTGTAAGCCCTCAATCGTCTCCGAGCATAAAACTAAATCATCAGCATATAGTAGTCCGGGAATTTTCAGGCCATCAATTACCGTATCCGCTTCCTGTATCCACGTCAATAAATCATTTATAAACAAGATAAACAGCAGCGGTGAAAGAGGACATCCCTGTCTTACTCCTACTGTCGATTTTATTTTTGCGTCGTACTTCCGTCAACCGCACCTGACGCAGAAATTTACTTCCCTATTCATGCTCTGCAACACTTTTAAAACTTTACGTGAGACGCCTAACTCATTTAGTTTTTGCCATAAAGCTTCCCTATTGATGGAGTCAAAAGCCTTTTCAAAATCCACAAAACTGCAATATAAGTGGCCCCGTTTACGCGCATGCGCCTATTTTACTAGGGTATCTAACACAAATATATTGTCGGTTGTCGCGAAGCCTCTCCTAAAGCCTAAAGCCTCTCATAAAGCATTTTTTTATATCTCTCTCTTAGTATAATACGTTGCAATGTTTTGTTCAAAATTATGCCCTGCTTATTTCCACTAATTCAACTCACGTGGGTTCGATTCATAATTTTACTTACCCCGACCCGCCACGGCGCACCGCAACGACAATTGTTGACGTGCCATTGAGACTAATGGCCACAACAGTTGACACGCCCGAAAACAAAATAATCAACCTATTCGCGAAAAAAATTGGAGCCATTTCTGCAAGAAAAAAATATAAATTGCTTTAATAGTGATAAGTTATTTTACATTGGAAAAGATGAGGTAGAATTTTTTTAAAATTTTGTTTGTATTATTACTAAGTAAACCCTTCCACCTCGAATTACTTCTGGAAAAGTTTTGATGGCCAAACACCACAAACTTTTAGGGCAGATTTTGGCTTTTGCTTAACTTTTTGATGCTTGATTTTAGTGCAAAATTTAGTGCAGTTTTAAAGGTCATAAAATTATCAACAAATTTACCTTTTAAATTATTTTTCTTATGCAACGCACTTTTAAAATTTCTTGATTGACCCTCATGTTTCTTGTTTCAATACCAGTTGTCATTTTACGGCCTTATTAAATATTGACACCGCCTCAAATCAAGTGCGGGAAATTCGAATTTTCCATTTCGATATTTTTCCCAATTTTCAAAAATACAGAGAGTGCACCGAAAATATAACCCGCACCAGTTCTTCACTGCAAAGGCGAAAAGAATAAAGAAAAAAGTTCGACCCGTTTCTGAGAAAATAATTATTTAAAATTTAAAAATTGTCTATTTGATGCCAAATTGAGCAAAAATACTCATATTTGCAAAAATTTGAACATGACCTTATTTCAAGAACTGTTTTTGATGAGCACATTTCATTAAGAAGAAAATTATCTTTATAATTGTAGTGGTAGGAACATGTTTTTAATTTTTGCAATTTCGGAAGATCAGAGACTTGAACGTACATGAGACCTGCACCAATCTTTTAATCGTCCTTTACTTTAACCGAGGTCAAAAAGTAATGAAATTTTTTTATAGAAAAAATTATTTAAAACATTCTTACATTTCAGTTCTCAAATTTCCGAAAAATTATATATGATCTTATTTCAAAATCTGTCTTTAAAGAACAGATTTCTTTACGGAAAACATTTCTATCTTCATTATTTTAGTTGTAAAAAGACGCCGAAAAATGTAATTTTTACAGTTTTTTGAAAATAATGGATTTCATCGAAAATGAGACCTGCGCCATTCTCTTAAACGCTCTTCACACAATCCAACAACAAAATATTTTTAAAACTTTGAAGCCCTTATTTTCAATTTTAAAAATGTCCCTGGAGCTTCATGTAAAGTACCCCCAATATTGAAATGTCGGTTTCAAATTCAAGGGGCCGCGACAACAGCTAGATCTATTGTAGATTATCAATTTCAGTGAAAATTCTACTTACAGTTTAGCCGCTAGCGTTGTTGACAGACGGATGGAATGACGTTTTGCTGTCAATCGACTTTTCGGTGTCAAAACATGGATTCAGACTACTTAACCTATTAGAGGAAGTAATTTACAATAATCGGATAAGATTTATCCACTTTTTCGTAATCACGGCTCAGCAATTAGATTTTTTAATGGAAATTCGCCGTTTTTACCCGCAGCATTACAAAACGTTCTCTATACTGCATAAGCAGTAGCGAGAAAGTAAAAATTTACATTGCGGAACTACAATACTATGATGGAGATTTTTCCTTAATGAAATATGTTTTTGAAACTAAAATTCTGTGCGTGAGTATCTCTAAAACGTTTGAAAATTGTAAATGCAAATTTTCAACTTTTTTTAAGCGATGGGGAGTTTGCATTCATCTGTGGGGCAAGTGGTATTAGAGTAATGTGAATTGTTTCCTGAAGAACCTGATTCCGAATTCCAGCGCGGAGAGGACATGTTTGTTGCTTGGAAACACTTTTGCGGGTTCTAGGGGGTACGTGTGGTTAGCACCTAGACATCCCCACGCCGTATTGCGGTCTTCTCAACCTGAGAAGTGAATTTTCCCATCGTTACACAGCAATACATGCTGGGATATTGCGAAGAAAACGCACACTATAGTCTTGCCTCGACCGCGAATCGAACTCTGGGCCAGTGCAAAGCAAACACGCTGACGCGAACCCGGGGCCAGGGGATGCAATATTACAATGCTAGTCACTAGCATTTTAATATTGCATAGCCGTTAAAAATAATTCCATTTTTCCGCTGCTAGCTCGTTGTTTATTTATAAACATTCACAATCAATAAAATCATTAATTCGATTTATGTATGACATCGATACATAAAGGCAAAAACTGTAAATGGACATCTTTAATTGATAATACACGAAAAATATCGATTATCGCAGAACTTGGCTTTCCTGCAGAAATGTTCATAATGTATTTTTCTTTAGAAGATGCTGTCACAACTATTGATCGATGTGTCTGCGTGCTCTCAGATCACACACAAAAATTTCTGGAACATCGTGTCACCAAACTTCGTTTTCGCATCTGTACTTTTTCGGGACTAAATATTAACTTAATATGTCTCTGTTCGCCATCAAATACTATGATAACTCCGACTGACTTCGTCTTTACTCCTTCGCCTCTCAGATATGGCTAACTATATGTCCGTTTTCCATAAAATCCTCCCATTGACTTCTTAGCCTTCTATCACGTGCGAATCCCACCACTTTTTATTCTCCTTAAACATCTAATATGTTTGAGCAATCATGTACTTACTCGCACAACTTTTCTTGAACGATGGATTGAAGAAATGCGGGTAGAGTGGGGGTATTAGTTACAAAATTGGCCACTAGATTTTAAGAAGCAATGTCAATCTCTGGAGAATCGCAACGTTCTCAATAATTTGCGTTCTAACTTTCTCAGGTGTTCGAGGTATCTTTTGTAATAGATGTTTACCTGCTTTGGTCATTTCTTTAGGTTTTGGAGAAAACAACAGATACAAGTTCTTGTCTTCAAAAGAAAATTGTTTCTATTTCGCGCCAGTGAAGATGTGTTTGGAATGTTGTGCTTAGTGCTCGCAGCGAGCTTTTGCCTTTATCTGTTTAATGTGCCAAAGAGGGGGGAGCAAGGTCATCGTTCAAGAAAAGTTGCGCGAGTAATAATATTCTATCTTTCTTCCAACGGATCACTACATTTGTTTGCTATTGTCGAAAACGTCTTTAGTAACTTTTGTGATTGGTTGATCACCATTTACTTTTCTTAAACTAATTGCTTTCGTCTTTATTTTACGAACTGTTTATAAAATAATTTTCCCCCTAGTAAGTAAAGTTTCAAACCTAAACAGAACGTTATGTGTTAATATGGCGGGATTAGTTTATTCAACCATCAAGGTTTTCTTATGAACGACGTTTTTAGTAGTTTTTAAGTTATAGATTACCTTAACACTATAATAAGAAATATAATTATATTCGGACTCAGATTCTTAGGTTTAGCAAACGCATAATCACTACTGCAATCGTTAGAGTCAGCATAATAACTCGACGCTTCAAAAAGAAAGTTGAATTGCAATTTTCGAAAATTTCATGGATTTAAAAAAAATCGAAACTATTCTATTTGTATAAATGCTCTTTTTTTAGAAAAAATAATGAAATAAATAATTGTAGCCATTTTCCAGAAAATTTTGAAAAGTAATGTTAAGTTACTCCAAAAATTAAACTATCTTAAATATCTCCAGAACGGCACAACTATATATGTTTTCTTCTGACTACCAAGTTTCACCAAAAAGTATTCTGGCAGTTACTCATCTATCCATTCACAAATGCATCCCGATTTCCAGTTACAAAATTGCGTGTATCTCCTGCGCCAATCTTCAACATCTTTGAAACCGTACTAAAACACGTTAATCCTGACGTGTGTGGAAAGTTACAGCTCAAATGAATCATAACTCGGTTTTAACGACCAAAAATTCGATATCGTTTTGTTGAGGAGATTCCAACTCTTTTCCTCCTTAAAATTATTTAGGGAGGGAAGATAATAAAAATATTGTTTCGAGAAAAATTTGTTAAAATATCAGTCGCAATTCAAACCGGCTTCCCGCCACTGCAATATCTGCAATGGTACTGAGCCTCGCTTCCATCTGCGACTCCACCGAAAGACATTACCCTCCCCCTCCGCCAATACATTTTCGGTGGGAAAAGAAAGAAAAATATTTTTGTAGTCCTAATTGTGAACACATTTTAATTTTGTAAATTTTAATAATTACATAAATTAAAAGGCGTCGCACAAGAAAAGGATACAATACTTTCTCTTTACTACGTAAGTACGTATTGGAGCAAGAAAGTAAAATCTGTATAAATTCACAACTGCTTTTCATGTTGTGAAGGCACAATGTGTCTTACGGAGAATCCGTGCGTTATTGCCGACACACCTTCGCATGCATGCTCGCTCAAGAATCGTCAAAATCACGGCTACCTTGATCAATATATCCATCTACTGAAAAATATTAATTCACATACTCTTTATTATTATTATTATTATTATTATTATTATTATTATTATTATTATTATTATTATTATTATTATAGCCGTAATATTTTATTAGCTAAAATACCTAATGCCTCGAACACACCTAGCAATGAAGTCGCGGAACTTTGTATCGAAACCTTTTTCATTTGAACACACTGGATGTGGCAAAAAGTTTGTCAAGTAATGTTTGCTGGTCATAAAATTGTTGCCAGATAACATGGCTAGCACCTCAGCCAAAAATATGTTAATAAAATACCACTAATTACAATTATACATACATTCGTTATTTTCTAAAAAGTAGTGAAAAGAGCTGAAAATGGGGTGTTTATGTAGTTTGTGGCAACCCTAAACAGATTTTAAAAACCGTTTTATTGGTGCATATATTGTTCGTGTATCAAAAACTACATGGCAGCAATACAACATGATTTGAAGGAATAAACCCTAGAAATTTAAAAAGGTGAAAATATAAAAATCCTCTTAAAATAGAGATTTGAAATTGTCGTTAAGAATGTACCATTGGGTGAACATTCAAACAAAGTTTTATTGTAAGAAAGTGACCGATAGTCCAGCATTTCAAAAACTCGCGCTCAGATCCTCTGCTTCCTAACCGCGTTCTTATTGGTCTTTTACTATAGTGAAAACGGCTTGAATTTGTTTTCTGATCGACCCACGAAGAACAGGTTGTGAACAGTTGTGAATTAAAGTAACGAAAACATATGCAGTACTGTTCAGGTTATGGTGGATAGTGTGTGATGTTCGTTTAAATAAAAGTCGTCATTGAAGTGGGGAAATTCCTTGAGAAAATTTACTTTAAGGAGGTAATATTGTGCTGCAAACAGAACATTTAAGATTGTTGTGAAAAGAAATTAGTTCTTCCATTGGTACGTACTCTTGTCGCTGTACTGAAAGCCGTAGTGCAAAATGCCATAAGTTGGCTATTCCCTACCCAATTCTGTTTTAATAATATTTTTTGCGTATTTGATCTCAATATTTACAATCGTTCTTAACCTTCGGAATGATATTGGTAAGGACTAATGTCATTGACGTGTTAAGCATAGTAAATAATATTTTCGCCGCTTTTCTCGATGCTTCACATGCCGGTCTTAAAATATTATTCTCGTTGCAGGACAAGATTGCCCGGAACTGCCCGTCATTCGTTCAGAATTTCAAAATTCAACGAGAATTACTGAAGGGTGGATTAAAATCAATTGTAAATACAAATTACAATAAATCTACAACCGCGGGAAGGCAAACGAAAGGTGAGGTACAGGTAATGATTTTTAGATTGAGTGGAAATCCTGATTCCAACTTCCTACAGAAGTTGCGTTGTTCGAGTAAACAGTTTGAATAACAAATATCTTGAAATATGTACTTTCATATTTTTTTGGTTTAGTTCGATTGTCTAGTTGCTTGTAGTATTCATGATTATATTTCTTCAGTGATGGCGGCACCTGTCAAAAGTTGGGAGACTTACTTCAATGACAATCGTGATCGACTGGTACAACAATGTTGGTGAAATCTATGTATAATTTGTCAATCTGTTTTGTATTTTAAACACCTTTCACAACTTAACATTGCCTTTTCGTATCTCCAGATGAAAAAAAGTATTCCAAGATTGAAAATAAAAGAGAAATAGCTTCTGATCTTAATAGAAAAGTTGCTATGTGTCAAGGAGATATTACAAAACTAGAAATTGATGCCATTGTTAATGCTGCCAACTCTTCCTTATTGGGTGGTGGAGGAGGTATAATGGTTTATGTTTTCTGTATTTATACTGTATACTATTAACTGCTCAGACTTATAAAACTTATTAAACAACTAAATAAAAAAATATTTTGTTTAGTTGATGGTGCAATTCACCGGGGTGCTGGGCCGAAATTAAAAGAAGAGTGTCGTACACTCAATGGTTGCAATGTTGGTGAAGCCAAAATTACTAATGGATACAACTTGCTAGCAAAACGTTAGTATGAATTTGTAATCGTGAGGGATGGTTAATTACCCAATTTTTATTAATAAAACTGTATGTAAACAAAACAAAATACCTGATAATTGACAAAATTGTGTGTGTTTATGTATTTAATAATAAATGAATTAAAATAGAAGTTCAGGATTTGTTGGTGGTAGTAATGTAGTTGATAATGCAGTTTAGAGCCTTAAAAGTGTAACAACCCTGTACATGGTTTCAGATGTTATCCACACTGTTGGGCCCCAAGGAGAAAAACCTGATTTATTGAAGTCCTGTTACAATTCATCATTGCAGCTGCTGCGAAATAAAAAGTTACGTACTGTGGTGAGTAATGGCTATTGTTTTCTTTGCGTTGTACTAAGTTTGTTATTGTTTAGGACTGAGCTGATCTTCTCCTTTTTTATGCAGGCTTTTCCTTGTATTTCCACTGGAGTTTACGGTAAGAACATGAAAAATATTTGACATACTGCTATCTAATATATTTATTAACGTATCCCTTTTTGAGAAATATTTTGAGGGATTTGTAAGTATTCAGTACTATTTTTGTTAAGTCATGGGTACATCATTTATTAATGTAGTAAACACCGGTATGTATATTAAGTACTAAATGCTTACTTAATTGATTAAAGTAATATAATTTTTGAGTTGATTGGAAGTTTATGGTGACACGGTTCCTTCGTTATTTCATGCAAAATCTTTTAAACAGGAATTCCAGAGCAATTGGAGGTATAAACCTGGTTGCAAGAGTGAAGGCTGAATGGCCCAATGAAAATGCAGCACATAGGATACAACACGTAGAGACTCATATTAGTATATTGTGGAGCACTTTGAGTCTAAATGTATAGGCTATAAAATTGTGTTAATATTTTTATTATTACTATTAATTAACAATTTTAATACAGAGAATTAACATTTAAAGGGGAGTAAGCTGTAAATTTGCAACTGGGAATGAAACTTGCCACTGCCTTAAGCAACTGAGTAAACCAAGAAAACCCTCAATCAGGATTGCAGCTTAGGTCCAAATATTACCAATACATAGAAGTGGAAGAGAAGGGAAACATAGATGTGAAGAAGAAAATTTGAAGAAAGGAGATAGACCAAGAGGAACGACAAGCTGTACGTTTGTGACTGAAAACAAAACAAGGGACCATCCTTGACTTAAACAATTGAGCAAATGAAAAAAACCTCAATTAGAATGATGACTTTGGGCCAAACTTTGAAAAAAGTGTAGGTGAAAGGATTATAAATAAGAAAATTGGAGAGGTCTGGAAGAGAGAAGAGGAGGAGGAGGAAGAAGAAATGTGCAGAAAGAGTACAATTATTCCAGAGATGATACATAATCAGAATGCTTTGTAGACATCAGCTCTTTACAAAAATATAAAATCAATTTTAACACCAAAGAAATACAATATTCTATAAGTTAATAGTACTAGTTATTTAAAATACAATATTGACAGTATTAAGAAACAATGCAAAACTACGATAAATTTGAAACATCAGTTGTATTTACGCTCAAGGCCTGTATATTGTAACAAAGATAATAATGAAAACAGTACAAAGATAGCCGTATGTTTTATCTGGAGAATCACTTATGAGTTTTTGTATATTTTATTGCAAACAATTACATTAAGATTTGCAAAAAAAGTATTATTGTTAATAATTTGGATAGAATGGAAGGAAATGGAAAATTATTCTAGAGCAGTGTTTCACAATTGGAGAATACACATCAGAGCCGCCTTCTCCTTCTTGAGGTGGTGCTCAGAGAATTAGTAGCTCAGAGCTAGAAAATGGGTGAGGGATGGATCGTCAGAACCTTGGCAGTGGGGCATTGCAAGTATTTCCTACAACGAGTGGGAGACTATGAACTCCCATTATTTTCTTTCGGTTTGGGAAGAAAGGTTTCCTTGTGTAAATACTGGAACAATGGTGAAATCTTTAGTGTGTTAGAACTGCAATAGAAATCCATTATATTATATACTAATGTATAAAATATTCCTGAAAAGTTAAAACAATCTTTTCAAAAAATTATATCTAGTAGGTTAATGGAAGTGGAATTACAGTACTAGTTATGTTAAAGAGTCAGATACTGCTTTGAGTTATGAAATAATATATGTTCTATTATATCATTATCATCATAGGAGAGGTGCACCTGTCCTTTTAGTGGGTAGTAAGGCAGTATTCCTTTGTGTAGTGAAGAGTTCGTGCGGGTCCATCTTTTTGTCTGTCTGTCTCCATCCCTCTTGCCATTTGGTCTATAATTTAATGCCATCTCTGATAAATGTCGTTTGTCCATTCTTTTCATGTAATTTCTCCACTTCCTTTGGTAATATTTGATTTCTTCTGCTATGTTTCCTGTTCTCAGTTCTCCCTTATTTTTTTTTATTTCAAATTTGTCCCTTCTTGTTACTCCTTATACTGTCCTTAGAAACTTTATCTGAGCTACTTCTATGCTTCTTGTTTCCTTTATGAACTTTATCCACATTTCTGAACCATACTTTAACATTGTATATTGATGTAATGTTCTATTATAAAATTCTTCATATTGTTATTTAATCAGAAACATTCTTACCATTTAAATAAACGTAATTATCAAGTTTCCAATCAAACCGTTTCCTCCCATTTTCGTACAATCATTGGAACACAGTACACCTGCCATTGCGTTGGGCACTTTCTTTGCTCTGCAGCTAAGTTCAGAGCAGGACAGAAGATTTCTGTGAAGTCACAAAGCATTGATGTGGCAAACACTGGTGTAGGGTAATTGTGAGGTATAGGAGGAATTTTGAATTTAAATGTGTTGGCTGTAAAATTAGATTTCTAACTTAAACAACATGAAATGAAATAATCAGTTCGTTGTTCAAATTAATCAATTCATATCAATTACTGAATCATAGTAACCGTGCCACCATAATCTTCCAATTTACGTATTTTTATGAGACTTGAATGAGAGGTCATATATTGTTCATTATAATATCTAAAGTGTTAGGATAAAAGAGTTTTAGTCAATAAATGTGCAAAATGTTAGTCTGCCAGTAATCCGTAATTTCTAAATGGGTTCATGTCGACAAAGGTTCTGTATCTTCAATGAGATCATTTACTTTTCTTTCATATAATTTAAAACTTAAATTTATTTTGTGTAGTTATTCATAAATGTTACATGAATTTACTTGGTGTGCTGCAACAGCGACAAAGAGATGTGTTGTTCAGGGAAGAGCCATTGAAAGATGTGCAGGTTAGAAAAGTTTTCTGTCAGAAATTGTTCCAAAATCATGCAACGAATGCCACCACCTTGTATTAAGCCTAAAGTGGCTCACTTCACAGAAACAAAAGTGCTTACCACTTACTGTGTGAAGGACATTTCTGGCCAAAGACATGGAGGTGCTTTGTGTTTTTCTGTGAATTAAGTTTGGCTAGTGTTCCAGCATATAACTACTTTATGTCCATAAATCTGCTATATGAACAGTGTTTGTTGAATGTTTTTGCTTTATATTCTTACTAAAATAATGAAATTTCACAAGCATATCGATTTTTAAATTTGGTTAATTCAATATTTCTTCTTTTAGAAGATACATAATGGAAATAATTTAAGTTATTAAAACATTAACTATACTCAAGTATTAAAATAAAACATGTGTACACCAATATTGGAAGGTCAAGGTATGCTAGTGTCTGTCAACACTATTTGCTTAAAGACATTAAAGAAATAGTTTGCATGGAGCATGATTAATAAAATTGTGAGTAGTGCTTCTGGTGTCTTTTTATAGGATTTGATGGTAACTGAATGATCTTATAATAATCCTTGTTTGAGTAATGGTTGTACGTCCTTGAAATATTATCTTCATTATTTTGTCAATGTTTTGTTATCTCCAGTATCTGGATCATCGTGTTTGAAAAACACATTTAGTTAATTTTGTTCCCTGCTCTCTCAATTGCATCCCTTTGGCGTATCTTTTTTTGTTGTTCCCTGTTTTGCTTTTATAAAAAAAATATCTTTCTTTGCTGTGTTCAGCCTGTTCACTCCTTCCTCTTTGCTCCTATTGCCTGCTTCTACTGCTGCACCTACTTCACCCTTGCTTAGCTCTTACCACTTCTCTCACTCCATCCACCCTGACAGACCTTCCCAGTTCCTCTTTCTGTGCCTGGCTGCCAACACATGGCAGTAATTTTGCCTAGCCAATTGCTTCATTATTTTTAAAGTATTTAATGCAATTATTAAACAGCATTTATATCAAATGCAATCTGAGATAGAAAATCTGATTTTCAATTATCTGAAAACTACACTGTTTGTTTTGCTATGTGAACTTAAACTTCTTTACATTTTTATTTGTGAATTTTACAAATTGTTGTTATCAATGTTATTTGCGAGTTATTGTTACCAATATCATTCAATACTGCGATAACCCTTGAACACATCTTTCTGAGGACTACCCCAGAGTGGCCACTTTCATGGAGAACCGAGGAAAATCAAAGAATTTCATTGCTCCAGAAAAGTCAGGAAATAATTAGAGAATTTGTAGAAGAATCGTTAGAATTCAGGAAAAATGTTGAGACGGTTATATAACAAGATTTCATTCCTTAAAAAAATTAAGTTCAGCAAACAACAGTGGCAACTTACAAATTAGAATCTGGTTTGCTTTAATATTATGGTAAAGGAAATAATCATCCACAAAAGTTATAATAATTTTATTAATAATTACCCAGAGTTAACTTTCAGGAAAATACATTTCCCATACTTAGTGGGTCTCTAGCAAGGAGGAGGAAATTGAAAAATTAACATAAATTGAGCAAAAAGAAATACAGTGAATTTATGTGAAAAAAAAATTACAAATAATATGAAATAAATAATAACTAAATAAAATTGAACATACTTACTGCCCAAGCAAAATGGATCATTTATAAATGTTCACAACGTGGTTGGGAAAATATGAAAACTGCAAAAACATGCTGGGTACACCTAGATGCCAGCATCTGCTTGGGCAGTAAGTATTTTCAATTTTATTTGAACTGATATTTGTTCAATGCTTGTCATTCATGCAGTCAATATATAACAGCTATTGACCGCATGAGATTCCACAATAACTCCTGGCACCATCCAGAAAAAAGTACAGAAACTTTCATGATAAAAGGTTCAAAAATCATTTCACAGAAAAAAAAAACACTGTGCAGTGATTGCAATACAATAATCATGATCAATTTCATTTAACGTGACACTGCAGATTATTGGTAGACCAATTACTTTGCCTATCAACTTGGTATTCAGAAACTGATAATCTGGTTATCTAACATGGAGTAGGAGAGTTTTGGCCAGTAATTGCATGGCAAAATTCTAATATCAATAAAGCTGTACCTAAATTAGTCTTCTTGACATATATTGTACTTTCTTTTGTTCTAAAAATAAAAACTATAGTGAAGTAATTAAGCAATGAAGATGAGCTTTCTACCAAAATAAGAGTATATCCATAAACCAGAATGTGTTCTGCTAGACACAGCAGCAGTGTGTGGATTAGTTCAATAATACAATCCCTTTAAGAAGGCCACCTCTCTAAGAGAGTAGATTGAAGATATTTATCAAATGAATTGTTTATTTCAGAAACCAGTCAACGCCACATACCTCATTTTGAGAAAACAGAGAGAAAGTCCCAATTTTTTAGATTTCAAAATATTTTTATTTATTAAAGCAGATGATAAAGGAATATTTTTCATATAAATATTCACAAAACGATGTGTCTATCCTCTTGGAACAATAATCTGTCGCTAATGCACGGTTTAGATTTTGGCGTTTAACGTGTTTCTGAAATAAACGATTCAGTTGATCAGCTTACAGAGGTGTACTTTAATTTACCTAAACATTACGTGAATGTTATATTAATTACTTTTTTTTTTTTTTTTTGATGTGAGGGGGAAAATATGACAAAAGCAAAGATCTTTTCTCAATTCTCTGCTGCCCGTCAAAACTCTGGATGAATTGTTTTCAATACACTGGTCAAACCATTTACCCCTTTAAATTTTAAGTCATTGTAAAATTTCATCTTGCAATAATTTGCATGGTTGTTGTAATCATGGTTTGTTATTACAAAATCTGTTATTGTAATTTTGCTTGTAAATTTTCAACAAAATTACTGTGCAGTTAAGTGACCATTTAAACAAAATAGTGCTGTTCCATATATTTTCTTTGTTTGAATAACTTCCTAAGGGTAATAATCCACAAAATATGGAAGAAAATTGACAAAACAATATTTTATTAATCAAGTGCCTATAAATGCAATGAAAATGAAAAAATGCTAGATTCCAGATAAAGGTTTCTGTTATAAGCCCAAAATATTTCAAAGATGTTTGATGCAGCTCCAAAACATGTATCGAAAGATTTAAATTATTTTTATGGTTCTAAATGGGGCTTCTAGGTGCCTTCCTTTTCCCCTTAATTTTGTAGGTACCCAGGGCATTTTCAAACTTTTCTCAAAAACTCAGAATTTTTTCTTTAAACTGTTTTAAAGATGGAGCAAAGAACTCTTAAAGCATTCGCTGAATTCAATAGCAAAAGTACCATTTTCATTTAAACTTTTCAATTTTCAAAAAATTAAACATTTGTAATGTTTTCAACCTTACATGTTCTGAATAGTATTAATATTACAGATATATTTCACGAATTAATGTTGATGTAATCATGAATGCTTTAATTGCTCCCGAATGAAGTTTGTTGGATTATGAATAGTTCTTGTGTATGAGTCAAAAATGTTGATAAAAACTGCTCAAATTTTTTTCTTGAATATTATAAGGTGGTTTGCTCTTTGATAATCCAAATTTCATTTTAACTACTAGAGAACTGAACAAATGAGAAATTGTGAAAAGATGTAGAAAGAAAACTAAACTGTCCTATTAATTAAGGAGATCTTTAAACATTGTATTTTTCATGTTTTATATTACTAAATATTTCTTATATTATACTTTTATAGTTTTGCTTTTGCAAGTCCAATATGTCCAAAAAGTGTTTAAACATAGGAAACCTATTTTTAATTTCATTATTATTAGCATTCAATTTTTTTAATTAGTTTTAGTGGTTCTTAATTTATTAAGATATACTTGTTTAAATTAAAATAATTCTGCATTGATATACATGATTTTTGACTGTGACACACACACACCTGTCAGGGCAAGAGATTAGGGTGTATGGGTGATACACAAGATACTGGGAATATATCCCATGCCACAACACAACTGAGGGATCTATGAGGTCAACTGTCCCAGTTATAATGAGTACTTCCTTCACACATGAACACCTCCTAGGCTCACCAGGGATCACAAAAGGAAAAGTGATGCATGAAAGCTAAGAAGGCCAACTGTACCTCAACGCAAGGGAGAAAATTCCTGAGCCTACACAGGACCTGCAACCTCACATACAGCACTTGCTTCACCATTGCTGTAACGCATCTGCAGCTAAAGCATGTAGATTAATATGTTATGCATGTAACTTAAATGCAAGTTGTATGTTAAAATGAGCTTTCATACATTACATTTAATGCTTTAATTAAAATTAGTATAGATTTCATGAACAATTTCTTCCTTTTCCCCTGCCTTTTATCATTCATATCATATACTATTCATAATCACCAGTCCATCAAAATTATTCCTTCCTTCATCTGGAAGGATTACCATAAAACTTTGAATACTCCTTCCTAATGTACATGTGTACATTAAATTTAAGGTGCGTTCATGATAGTTACTTTAATGTACATTTCATTAAAGTAATACAGACATTTTTGACTCTATGATTTCAAATTTGTGTGGGTGTTGTTATAATTGATACTAACTGCCTTTTTGAAGCCATGAAGCCAAGAATTTTTTTTAAGTATCTTCATATGTAGATGTTGCCAACCATGGAAATGATTCAGTGTTCACCCTCACAATCAATATCAATATCTCCATGGGGCAAAGCTCAGTGCCAAATACACAATGATGATGAGCCTTGTCAAATACTGCAAAGCTCACAGTCTCATGAACCCATTTAGAACATTAGGGTGAATGAGCTCTTTACAGGGTCCTCATGCTCTAGTGACTTCCATAAAACAATAAACAGGGAAAGTGGAAGGAGATTTTAATCTTTCACTGATAAGCTAAGTTGTTTCTGAAAGGAATTTCGCAGATGGCAGTCTCTTCTTATGCTGCCTTCAACAATGGAGCTGCAGAGTAAATACAATGTGTCACAGAAGCATCATGGGAAAGTTTGTAGTCTTGGAGGTGGGGGTGGGATTCTTTTCTGTGGTATGTGTAGCCGTTGTCATAAAAGCTCTCTATTTTACAATACTTTAATATTCTGTCTATGTTTTTTAAAATAGTATATTCTAAAATATTAATAAATCATATATTAATATTAATTGCTGTATCCTACAAAGTAGGAAAAAAACATTGTTTCAGAACATGATTTTTTTGGTTCAACAATTTATCTTAGAATTGAATATTTCATTCATGTAAATTACTCATAATTTGTTACTATAAATGTTATTATTGAACACAATAGTTTTATGCTCTTATGGTTGTGAAATCTTTGTATTTCTGTCTGGTTTTATTTGTGTCGATTTTACTTACTTTCTTTGTTGAAGATTCTGGGCGCTTCTTTATTCTTGTTCCAGATCACTACTGCTCTTAAATTACTTATCATTCCATTGCAGCAGGAACAGATATACAGGGGTGAAGAGAGATTAAATAAATATATTCCTCTTCAAAAATAATGTAATTTTCTAGAGTTATGTGAACAATTTGAATAAACATTTAATTTGTAAGAAGGTAACATGAGTAGTGACAAATTCACCAGAGTTAGATGTGTGGGATTTGGAGTTTAATTTAATCATCATAAACATCAAATTTTACTTTTCCTAAAATGATGCTAAGTCAGATGTAACTAAGAAACTAATCTGTTTTGACAGGGTGAAAATAAAACATTCTACTTGGCTTTCTACAAAATTCTTCTTTCAATAATTCCCTTATGAAGGTGCATTGTTGGCCATAGTGCAAATTATGATAATTTGTAATGAAAAAAAGAAAGAGAGAATGTAAAGTTAGTTGAAGATTAAACAAATAAAGCAAGTTGCTGTAGCTGCAATGTACTTGTTTGTTTTTACCAGTAAGAAGAAGAGTTGCTTGCACAAAAATAATTATTAAAGCATTATGATTAATACAGGCCAATCCTTGCATTCAAATGTATATCACAAGGATATTCATCTTAAGATTGCTCAGGAATTTTCTTTTAAGAGTAATGTTTTATATTTCCTATTTGAATCTCCATTATATACTAGGCCAGAATTTAGATAATTGTTCTCTCTCATTGAAAACATCCTGTCTTAGGAGAATTCTGTCCCTATTGGGGAAAGCAATTTCCCCTTTTGTCAAGGTGAAAATACATTTTTTTATATATAAATACAAATTGTAGCAATTAAGCTTTTATGACCAGAAATGGATGGGTTTACCAGCTCCTTTATTTTCTAATCTGATATTAATTTTTTTTTTTTTTTTTTACTATCTAGCAGGTAATACATACCTTTTACTGATTTTTCCTCATTGTTATTAAGATTTACTATTATTTAATGAGGTTTATCACTAACAACGAACCTACTTTTTTTTAAACAATCTGTTCTACATCAATATTCAGTTTGAATTCTTAAATAAATTGTGAGGCTGTAATAGTATTGCACATAGTATTGCAGTATTGCAGGCATTTAATTGGAACTTTCAATAGCCTCACAAGGGCTCAATTTTAAGCCAAGTTTTCATAAGACTAGAAGCCACAATAATGTAAAAGTTTCATGCATTTTACAGAAGAAAAAGAAACAACTCAGATATGAAATTTAAGATTCTCAGGCTGCTGTTGTTGTTTTTTGTTTTTCAGCTGAACCTCAACAAAAAAAAAATTAGTTTGCATTTAATTTATTTACTAATTAATTTAATTAGTTTGCATTTTCTCTGTGAAAGAAATATTAAAATGCAGTTGAGATTGTTGGATTTCGAAAACATATTTATTGAAATTGCCAGCAGTGTATCTGAAATCAGATTGATAACATTGAACACCAAAGTTCTTTGCTCTTTGAAATTTGGAATTGGCTACCATAGAGCAAATGTGGGACAGAGTATATTTTGGGAACAATTGCTGGATTACATTGTTTACTTTTTACAGGGTACCCACAAGAGCCTGCTGCTCATGTTGCTCTGAGTACAGTGAGAACTTTTCTTGAAGAGAATAAAGATTCTGTGAGTATGATAGAATAATAAAATGAAGAGTCAAAGGAAGTACTTGCTAAATTTGGTGATGGTTCAGAGAGGAAATAGTTTGATTTGGGTCAGGGTTTTTGTGTGTATAAAATAAACATAAATAGAAAATTGAATTTGATTAAGCAAGTTACTGTTCTAATAATCAGTAATTGCATAATAATTTATAAAGAGATGATGATGTTTAACAAACTTATGAAAAAATATTATGTATAATATATTACTACTGTTGTTAGTGAAATTCTTGATTAGTGCCTTTGGTTACTGAAAAAACAGAATAACAAAGTCAAACATATCAGCCATACCAAATTTGGTGAATATTTCATTAAATCTAAAATAAAAAAAGAAGTTTAAAACCAGTTATTAGTTTGTGAAAGGCACACACATTCTATATTTGTTTGAAACTTCATTCTAAGAGATGATGTGATGTCAATATAGCTGTAATGCAGTGCTTTTTTTTAAAATCAAATAATTGAGTGTGGATACTTCAACTCTACGGTTTTTCATGGCCTCTTGAGTAACTTTAGCCACTTCTAGTATGAAGGTCAACATTTTTGAAATGAAACAACCCTTATTTCCATTATCAAAATAAAACCTGCTAATTTTAATAGGAAATATATTGGTCAATAGTGTCAATCTAAAGCAGTTACTTTTGATTTGTTCTTTAGAAACAGGAATAGTACTGTGTGAATGTCCCAAACAGTTGCTTCTGCAACCTAATGTTTTTCTTGTACATTCTTGAAAATTCAAGGAGGATGCTCTCATGAGGAAATTGCTTTGAACAGATGAAAGTACCAAAATTGCTTTTCCATCATGTTCCACAACAAGAAAGTGCTGGTGTTATACAGAAATATGAATTCTTCGGATTGCTTATAATGCTGGAAGTATTTTTATTTAAATATTCAAAAGATGAAAAATCTGGAGGTCATGATGCAATAAAATTTCTTTTGATTGAAGAAAATCTATTCTGAAAATTAAGTTGTCTCCTCCTCACTTTCCCATCCTGTAATAACTTATAACCCATACAAACCCATTTAAACTCGTAACATTTACAATCTCCCCCTTCCCTGTGATGAATATTCCACATACTCCCCTCCCCCCCATCACGGATTTAAATCAAAGTTCTTTCATTAAGAATTGGTTTAATTGGAAGTTATAGTTTATACAAATTTTAATGCAGTTTTTTTAATATATAATAAATTCTGCCATTTTAAAATTAATTTCAACTTTCATTTGTAGTTTGATATTAATAATAAATATTACAAAACTTGAAAGTGTAGTAAGTAAGTATTTTAATCAAATTTTCAATTTGGCACATGAGATATTTTTCTAAAATTTAACATGAGATTAGTAATACTTGTGAATGGTGTGTATATTATATACTGGGAGAATATTCATTTATTATCCACCACCTCACATTCCTGTTTTAAATTTTTTTTTATCATTTTCAAAAACCTCCTCCCCCTACTTGGCATTGTATTTATGCTCTGACCCCTTCATTCAACTCTTAATCAATGTGGTAATAACATAATACCACAATTCTCTCTGTATCAACATCTCAATTAACAAAGCATGCATGCAGCACTGGGCTTGTCAACAATGGGCACATGTTTTCTTATCAATTCTTCCTAAAAGCGCAATTTTTGTCATAAATGAAAGGTGGTGCGTTGTTGATGTGAAACTTGTATGTATTTCATTAATTTCAAATAGAAAATATGCAAAACTTTTTTTTCCAAAAAATTGTACATTCCCTCTTTTGAAGAGCAAATTTTATACAACAGGCTTTGCCTGAGAAAGAAAAGAGATTTCTTTCTTCAATTTTGTATGATTAATTTTTTTTCTATTTAAAAAATAAACGAGCAATACTCGAAAATATGACTACCACCATATTTTTTTATCGTCTCTTATTACTGTTACATAAGTGAAGAAAATTTTTTTAAAAAATTCTGAGCGGTTTTTGAGAATTGTTGTTGTAAATTTGAATCGAACAATACGGAAAAAACTCTTTTTTTTTTTTTTTTTTTTTTTTTTTTTTTTTTTTTTTTTTTTTTTTTTTCAAAAAAAAAATTGTACATGACATTTTTCAAGAGCCAAGTCTGTACAACCGACTTTGAGACAAAAATCTTCAATTTTGAAGTTTGAAATATTTTTTTCTTCCAATTTTCGAAACCTTGGGGATGTCAACGAAAGTGAGACCTGCACCATTCTCTTAAACGTATTTTGTGCTATTCACAACAAAATTTAATCAAAAAAATTTGGAGGCAATTTTTTGAAAATGTCTCAGGGTTTTCATGTAAAGTACCCCCAAAATTAAAATATCTGTTTCAAATTCCTGGGTCAGCGACATCAGCTAAGAACGATCGAGATATATCAATTGTGGAGAAAATGGGGTGAACGGTTTATTCGCTAGCGTTGTGCAGACAGACGTTTTGCCGACAATCGATTTTTGGGTTCGAAGGACGCATAAAACATGGATTTAGCTACACCACATGTAGGAGGATTTTTTTCTACATTAAGCATTGGATTTATCTGCTAGGGCCCAGCAATACGAGATTTTGTGTCGAAAATTCGCCGTTTTCCGGCGCACGATTACAATACTTTTCTCTTACGTTATTAAGTGCGTGAAAATAAATATCCATGAAAATAGGGAATAGAATCATCACTATTTCAGCAACAGAGACCTTTAAAAGTGGAGAAAAATGAAAGGTTTAGACTACTATTATTGTTAATATGTATGTTAATTTTGTTTTATTTTCTTGCCCCCACTGTGTACATAGTAAAAAGAAAGTATTGAAATCGTGTTGCGAAAACTTTTCGTCAAAAAAACTCGGGCGCTCGTAACGAAAAAAGGGATAAATTTTGTTTCTGTATGTAGTAAATTACTTCCTCTAAAGTTGTGTAGACAGAATCCACATTTTGGGAGTCCTTGATTCCGAAATATCTTTTGACGAGAAAGTCGTCTGTATGTCCGCTTGCCTGTACCGTCTAGACGATTTTCTCCAAAAGTGATATTCCCTAAACGGTCTAAACGAATTGATGGCCTTGCGAGTTTGAAACAGATATTTGATTTTGATTTTTGAAAGTACTATACATTTCATTGATCTTTGTTCTCGGAAAGCGCATGGTTTAAAAAATGCCGCAGGTCACATTTTCATTGAAATCTATGAATCTTTGACCAAATTGAAGATATTTGTTTTCCCTTAATCAAATTTGTTGTTCAACAACATGCTGAAATTAAGTCCAGTACAAATTTTAAAAACTGTGAGTAGTTTGCAAGAAATTAGGCAATTTTGAAACATTTATTTTCCCAAAAAAGCCCCAAATTTTTATTTAAACTGTCCTTATGTAACAAATTTCAGTTTAAAAAAATACTTGTACTAATTGTGCTTCCATTTTTTGTTAACTCTGAATTTTCACAAATTGCTAAAATTTAATATTTTTAATGTACAATATTGATTATACACATTTTTTGCATAAAAATTAAAGAACTAAATTAAATCTTTAAATAAGATTGTTTTTAATTTAATTTAATTTATTAAAAGATTATGTATAATTTCGTGAAAAACAGAGAAGTTTTCATGAAATTTCTGCATGAAGTATTGCATTTTTCGTAATAATTGGTCCACATTGTTTGTTTAAATTGCATTTATGGATAGAACAAAGGATGCTTAAAAAGTGGGGTTGGTCTCATTTTCGTTGAAATTCGAACATTTGAAAATTGCAAGTTAGATAAAATGTGCTCTTGTAGCATTCATAATACAAGCCCAAAGAAAATGTAAACGTCAATCCTTCAGTATTATTATTATTAGTAGTAGTAATAATAATAACAATAACGATATCTGTGAAATATGTTCTATCGTAATTTGCCTTTCATTGATTTCTTTATTTTTTTCATTTCTGTTCAAATTACTATCTTCCTGATGTTCCCTTCCTTCATATACTTCTTGACCATTCTGTCATTCTCATTGTGAGATACTATTATTGGTGTTCCGAGTACTCTTTATCTTTTGAATTTTACATTCTCGCGTTCTACTTACGTACGTTGCATAGATAATGTATTTTAATGTCGTAGCAAAATACGGCGATTTTTCAACTGAAAATTGTGGGTCCCTAATACGAAAAACGTGGGTAAATATTTTTCTGATATGTAGTAAATTACTTCCTCCAACACGTTGTGTAGTCAGAAAATACATTTTGTGGGTCCTTGTGACCGGAAAATGAATTTGGGGCAAAACGATCGTACATCTGTAAACTACCGGCTAAACTGTACGTACGTTTTCCATAAAAATTCCCCGATCGATTGATGATGTCGCGGCGTCTTTATTTTGAAACTGTAATTTTAGATTTTTGAGGGTGCTTTATTTGAATCCTCAACATTCTCCAATTTTTCTCAGTGATGGCTCCATTTTTTAAATTTTTTTCCCTCGGATAGAACAAAAACAAAAACAAGCGTATGTCTCCGTTTCATTAAATTATCGAAAATTGAAAAAGTTGATAATGTGTTCGGAGTCTTCCTACCACTAAAATATTAAAGATTGGAATTTTCCCCACCAATAAAATTTGTTCTTGGTAATTAAATCTTGTCTTGTACATTTTTTAAAATTATTAATTGTTTATGCGCAATTTTGAGTGATAATGTAGAAAATTTAAATCTAGATTTTCTAAAAAACAGCTCAAATTTTTTCACTTAAAATTTGCATACAAGACAAGGTTTTCCTCATCTATAATAGGTATTCTTGAAGTCATATATCTTCTATTATTAAAAGACCGATAAATTGAGAAAATGTGGACAAATTATTTTTTGCATCGTAAATCTGAATTTTTTTAAATGGTAAATGCAAATGTTAAACTTAACTTTAAACATTAGGCAGGTTGAGTCTAGCTTTGAGCAGCTTTGAGACTGGCAGGGTAGGAGTACTGTGGCTGATGTTTTAACTCAAAGGAGAAAAGTTAGTGTTCTAATGGGGAGATAAAATGTTAGCTGTTTGGAGGTGCATATAGTATTATATTATTGTGTAGCTTTTACATGCATGAAAAAGTGTGTGTTGTTATTGCTCCAATTTTTTCTTTGTTTCCTTTTTTTCCTCTTTTAAAATGTTTTCTCCCCATTTCACTTGTATTTGTCAATTTGGTATGAAAAAATTGTTAATTTTCGATGTACATTAATAAGATAAGAAATGTGCTAGTTATTTGAATTCATATTTTTTAGGAAAATTGAATTTTGTGATTTCATTTGGTTAACACTTGTCTGTACATGTATAATTAATCTTTTATCTATTATCACACCTGTTTTAATTTGGATAACGAAAAAGTATGTTTTGATTTGTTTTGTTTTTCTTTTTTAGGTTGATCAAGTAATTTTCTGTCTGTTCCTGCCTGAAGATGTTACTATTTATGAAAATTTGCTGCAGGTGTATTTTCCAGTAGCCTGAAAATCTGCTGTGTGAAAACCCTTTGTTTGCTACTCAAGACTGACTGAAAATCTCATATCATAAAATGCCCTAAAGTACTCTCAAATATGCATCGAATCTTCAAATTTAGTTTGAAATATGTTTTACCTTTATAATTTGTGAGATTTGTTATAGTTTCTTTATAATGCTCATAATTTAGACAACTGAAAAATCTATTGTGTTGTACCATGTATAATGTTAATAAATTGAATGGTGAAAATTTTGTGTTGGAATATTTATAACATTTCATTAGATTTTTGACGTATGACAGCATGTTCTAGATGTAGCAAGTTTGGCTTACTCATATAGGCCTATTTTATAAACCAACTTAAGAATTGCGAGAAGAATGATCAAATATTTTGTCTTAAATAAAGAACAGAAAAAAGTATAAGATACTGAAATGTTTAATTTTGTTCACACCATTTTAATTTATGTTTTTATTATTTGACTCCTGTCGATTCGCAATCAACGTGGGTAACCCAAGACCGTGTGGTTTTGAACTCGAGGTTCACATGCCTCCCGATTGAACATAAGGCCCTATGTAGGCAGACTTGAATAAACGTGCAACTAATCCAGAATATGTTGAATAGAAATCATAAATGAATAAAGGTGTGTTATACACATATTTAATAAAAGGGCGAGCCAGAAATTGTTGAAGTAGTCGTTTCTCTATGAGACATACAAAATAATGTCACAGAGTATTTTGTGACGTCAAGGATTATTCAACCAATAGGAGAAAAATGTTACGAGTTGCGCAGTGGCAGTATTTGGTGCGAGGCAAGAAAGTTAGGCCGAGTCGGCCATCTTGGAATGAAGTTTGTAATCAGTTGAGGTGGAAAGTAGGGTTTCGTATGCGAGTTGTGACGGCTTTTGCCTTATCAATGGGTTAGTAAATAATAGTGAAGAAAGCGCAAGATGTGGATTTTAATTTTGTTACATGAATTGTGAGATTGGTGTGAATGGAACATCGAATGCCGTACAGTGATGGGGATGTGGCTAGTTTGTCATTGAAGGTTTCTACTTGTTAGAGAATTTATTTGCTTTAAATCAATTCATTTTTTTCCCTGTTGGTCACTATAAGGAAACATATTATACACTGAGATTTATTTTAGTGCAAAGTATTTTCTTTTATTTATCACCTTACAGCTGTTGTTAATATTGGTGGTAACTTGACGTACATTGGAGTGAACCAAACAAGTTCACTCAACGTTACCGGTACAGGAACGAAGGGTCATGCATTTATGGAACCTGAAAGATTTCTGCTAGTGGGTCAGTTGTGTAAATCATCTTTTCTGTTCTTTTATTGTGACGTAATTGGCTTTGTCGTGAAATAGTAGCCCACGTTTTTAAAAGTTTCTGCTTTCTCACTATCCCTTCCATGTCATTTCGTTGCAGACCTTGATTATGTGTAACGCGTGATCCGATATTTCTAGAGCAGTTGTATTTGCACTAAAGCGGTGTAAAATTCATACATAGAAAGCGAGATTATTAGTTAAATTTTGGTAATGTGACAGTCACAATTGCTGCATGCTGCAGCTGTTTTGGCAACTTTTTGCATAATGAATGCATGTTGATTGATGATGACAGAATTATGTTCGATGTAAGAATTTACTGTTCCTTCTCAGTTTTTATGGTACACCTTTATAAATTTGAGATAACATTTTTTACTTGATTTCAAGATTGTTAAAATACTTATTTCAATTTTTGTGCAGGTGTAGGAAGACATCGCGTCTCCTCAAAGCCTTACCAGCTCAAATGGTAAGAGGACGTTGGAGGAGTGCTGGACCACTTGCTTCCACCTCACCACTCAATCAGTTTTGGCCTTACCTACACCCTTCATTGATAGGCTCGTTCCAGACTTAGCATAATGTCCTCCAGCATGAGAACAACTCTACAGACAGTGCCTGAATCTCTTCCAGCAGATCATGTCAGCAACACCCAGGTTAGACTATTGATACTATTGCATGGAGTTGTAGTTTGCTTTCTTTTATTTTTGTGGAAGTACAGCACAAATTTCCATATATATCAACAGTTAATTCCATCATTTCCAAGAATGCTTTATTTAATAACTCATTATTAATGAATGTAGGTTTCTGTGTTTCTTAACTGTGAATATGCTAGTAGTAGTAATTTGCTGTAGTGTTCCAAAGTAATATAAATTCTTCAGAAATTCAATTATAAAGGGAGAAATGATTTCTCCGTATTTGTATCATGAACATTTTTGAGTGAAATAGAAGACATTTCATTGTGGATAATATTTATTATTGTTGTATTGTTATTATTGTTAATATAAAGAATTGAATACTTTTAATAAGCCTTAATTGACCATGAATATCGTTATCAATGTCCTGATGTGTACAATATACAAATCTTGAAACCAATTAACACAAATGAGTTTTTTGTTAATGGATGTGAAACTAAAGCTTAATTAACCTGACTGTGATTATGACATCATTATTGCTTTGTGTGTTAAATTGCATTTTTCTCTGGGTGCTGGTATTTCCCAATTTATAGTGTTTTTCATAAATGTTTTGGGATTTTATTGTGAGATAGTTTGCTGGAATTTTTGTGTTGTGAAATAAGTGTTGTCTTCCAAGAGGCACTTGTTTGCTTTGCTTTTTAGTCTGAAAGTGTAATGGCTATTAAGTGTCTGAGCATTGATTTGAACCTTTAAAGCTCTCATATGTAGTTTTTACATTGAGTTGTATTTAATATTCATAGTTTGAATAATCTTGAATTTAAGAACCCTTTCATTAAAGGGGTTTGCAAACAATTAGGGGTTTCATTCTTTTGAACATTGTATGAGAAAATACACAAATTCAAACAGTTAGTGGTTGGAAAAATTGAAGTTGTAAATTTCAGTTAAGATGTTCTATTTAGTAGTTATTGAAGTTATATCATGAAAGTGATCCATGAAAGCAATCTGCAAATGAACCTCATGATGAAAAAAGAAAAAAACAAACTTGATGTCTTTCAGAGTACTCTCAACTGGACTCTTTTCTGAACATAACTTTGGGGTAAGATATTCGGAAAATGTAGTAAAGTGATTTTTTTATCCCAGTTTTTTTGTTGCTTTGAGTGTAATATTTTTGCAAGGATGGTGATATTTTGTGTTGAAATTGAGAGAACGTTTTAAAATATTAATGTACTGCAGGGCATTCATTATCAGCAAGTTTTATTTTCTTGAAATATCGTATAGTTTGGGTAGAGGGGTCGCTGGGATAAAATCAATTCTAACCTATATTCACTGGTTTCCCCCTAGCTTCTCTTGAAACTTGGACTAAAAAGTTGTCCGGTTGTCCGCTTGGAGGTGCTACTCTGAAACATGTTGCCCTCTGTGGGCGATGTTCGGAACTAACTAGCCAATTGATTTTGTCCATGATGTGGCATGCATTTCACCTGCAAATAGAATGATTATACCCCGGAATCTTTTTTTCTGAACTTTTTTCTCAGCGAAGGAACCAAGTTGCTGTTGGTGCATGAATTTGGACTGTATTTAAGGCGAATATCTGAGTGAGAAAATGGTAAATGTTCTGTTTTTTTAGCTCGGGGTGTTTCGTAACAAATTTCACATGTTCATTTCAAATGTGTACACTTCGGAAGGTAACGCATGCGGAAGAAACAAAGAAATGAACGTCCCACCCATGATTGGAAAAACGTTTGAAATATAATAAAGACGTACTTGATAATTTCAATGGGGGCATTTGTTTGAATATTACTTTGAAGTTAGAAGGGAAAATTGAGTCAAGCGAGAACAATAGTAGTATGAGGATGTGCCCCATTAACTACCCAATAATGAAATCTCTCTTTTATACGAAACGTTTTAATTAAGCAAGTGTTACTTTCTTCAAAATTGAATTCGTTTTTTGGATGGTGTTTTTTTTTCTTACAGAGTTGTACAATGGTGCAGATACACATTACTTCTATAAAAACTCTCCCCAATTTTGGCCCTACTCTTTGTTTGCCTTTTAGAAACGTATTAAATTAAATGTCTTGAAAATAGTAATATTTTCACAAAGTTTTATGTTATTCAGCATCTTGAGAGAAGTTAAGTGTATGATCCTCGGATAAGTGTTCTTTGAGCAAGTAAATGAATTTGGTTTAATCATAGTTCAACAACATAGATTTTACATTATTGTGAGTAAGGTACTCTAAATATTGTATTAAAGTAAACATTTTTTTTAATGTATACGAGACCCATGTGCTAGAGGTTTGATCCAATATTGAAGTGTGCGCTTTGCTTAGAAGTGCAGCAAAATTCCATTTTCCAGAAATTTGGTTTTCCAACTCTCGTGATTACTTGATTTTATAATTTCTTTGATCTGATCATGGATACAAAATAGAATAGCTTTAAAAACTGTTGTGACCAGTCTGCTGCTAGGGTTGTGTCGTTTCAGGTATATACCAGTTCGATCAATTTAATAAAGTAGACGTTGTGAATGTCACGTTTCGTCCGTGAAGCTTAATGTGTTGATTCTCGTGTATTTTTTACGAAATTGCCCTTACGGAAATGTCGAGGAGTTTGTTTGCAGCGAAACGCGTGCTTTTAGGCCCTAGAAGGCGTGTAGCCTCCCGCAGCTCGGCCGCGTCGAGCCGACCCCTTGGCCCCCGCCTTCTTGCCGTGGCCCCCGTGCGTGCCGCGCCGCGAGAGGGACCTGTGATACCCCAGAATAGACGCGGCGGCGCCTGGCCGTTCCGCGAGGAAACTAAACAGTGGTTATTTTCAAGCTCTTTAAAATAACGTCCACTACTCTACTCTACTCCACTCCACTCCGACACACGAGCGCGGTTGTGGGCGCGGGGAAATGGCGAATCACGGTGTGAATGTTGCGCCCCCCCCCCCTATTTTTTTTGGAAGAGGCTTGTTGGATGTTTGATGTCGCGTGTAGACGGAACTAAATTGGGCTAGGCCATGCGCTGAAGGGGGATTGTTCGATTGCGTGTGTGATTTTATTATAGGGGTTCTGCCCAGGTATATTCTGTTACGTGTACTGTTGAGATACTATTCGCAGCTAATTGTTATTTTCCACAATTTGATAATAACATATACTTGTTCAGTGAGCATTAATATTTGGTAATTCTTATTCATTCGTAATCATTCTTATTCATTCGTTGCTCGGAGGAACTTTTGGCCATACATTAGTGCTCTTTTGTTCTGTACACAATCGCCCGTACCTATGAACAAGGCCCAATTGTATAATGTATTAAGCTTTTAACACGTTTTAGCACAATTATTTTAGTTTGAACCGTAAGCAATGGATGGAAATTAGTAAAGCCCAAAATAGCAGACTGATGCCCCTTCGGATGCAGTTAGACGCTTTAGAACGCTTAGGTTTTTTTATTTTTTTGTTTGCTACAGTTTTAAATTAGCATTTTTAAATAAGATCTAGAGTATAAGATGGATGAAATAATTCCAAAGTGATAAATAATTGGCATGTTTGTTTAGTTCTGACGTTACTGACAGAAGTCTGCTTGTCGAGAGAATCTTGAACATCCCGTACTTGTCAGCGTTTTCGCGGAGCTTACTTTCGCCGAGATCTTACCTTTCAAGTTAATGTTGCGGAAAACGAGACGAATACGAGGTGAAACATGACTCGCGCTCGGAACAGAGTGGTTTGTCGACATTCTGTTGAATTATATCAATGATGTAACTCTTGACGTAATTTTTATCTAAGGTTATTACGAGGACTACATTTTTGTTTTGTATCTAACATTCTGAAATCTTATATTTATTGTTTGTTCCCGTAATATTTGATTTAGCACGAAGAAAAAGAACCGTTAGAGTATACCAGATCCATGATACTGTAAAAAGTTTCCTTGTTACAGTATCATGGATATGGTATACTCCAGCGTTTTTTCCGGTGTAGCTATTAATAATCGGTTTTATTGATGTAGTATGTGCTATACAACATGTACGTACGTTGAAAAGGAGAATTACCCAGCCTTTATGTAGTACAATAATATCTAAAACAACTTTGATGGTGAAAATGCTTATTTTTTAAAAGATAACAAGAAAACTTGTAGATTTATTCGCAAGAGACTGCGAACGAACTAATGGGAGTGGCGGCTCGAGGGGGTGGGGGGAGGGCGTGAGCGCAGCGGGGCCGAAAGGGTCGAGGCAGCTGCGTCGGTTCGTCCGCGCGCCTCCGGAAGGCGGTCACGGCGCACGCGCATCGCCCTAGCCCAGTGGGCGGAGGCGGAGGGCCGCCTCGAACCAGAAGAAACGATTCACCCTCCCTCAAAAGTATATATAATGATTGACTAGAATTTAGGATCTACATACGTTACACGGCATGTCGAAAATCGAGGGAAGAAGCATTCCTTAAAGTATGAAGAGATTTTTGCATTTAAGAAAGACTAATGATAAATCGACGAGTTTTATGAATGGGGTCTAAGTGGAGTGACCACTCTCTTTCACACAATTAATTGGTGGATAGTTCTTCAATCTGGAAAATGCTCCCAAGTCTAACGTCGGTTATTCTGCTTTGGATCCCGTGCTTTCGAATAAGTATGCATGTAACTAGAAGTGAATGAAAGAATAAATGAAAACGTTTATTAAAATTGTGAATAAAATTGAAGTTGGTTGACAGTTTGGGGTTGCGTAGTAACGTGGGTGTTGTGGCATAAGCAACTGCGAATCAAAAGCTTTGGCATTTTCGTGGCGTTGTCGTCTTCAACAGGACAAACTAGTCGCATTCCCCAAGTGTAGTTAATTAGCTAGGAGTCGATATTGAGTTTAGTGATGAAACAGTGCATTACGTGAGCGAGAATCACAAGTAGCGTGTGCTCTTGGCTTAGCCTATCGCTTTAGAGCGCCTGGTACACGGCAAAGGTATCTCCCCCCCCGCCACATCTGTTAATCACCTTCTGATTTTATTAGAATCGTGGCCTCAAATGTTAGGTGGAGGAGAAATTAGTTCTTGAATACACAGATAAGTTGCT